AAAAAAAAAAAAAAAAAAGATTAAAAGAGCAAATTCCTAGGAAGGACCAGCAGCACTGGGTGCTTTTAACTAAGTCTGCGGGCAGGGGAGACTTTTTATCCCTCGCAAGTTAATGCAAACTGTTAGGGAGATAAATAAATGACAGAGCTGCCGATGGACTGTTGGGCTCAAAGGAGGGACATTTGTCTCACTTTAGAAGAAGGACCTGGAGGGCTCAGCCCCATCGACTCGTTCATTGTGCTGTTATCTGCCAGAGAGGTGGTGACACCAGAGCAATTAAGACAAACTTTGGTCTATAAGTTCGTGGCTGCAATCTCGTGGCTTCAAAACAAGACAAATGATACCGCCAAGGGAGGAAGCAAAGTCTTTTTCAGACTCTGTCCAAAGTCACAGCGAATATTTGTAGTTGTTCAGCAGAAAATTTGTCATTATGAGGCCTGGGCTCTGCTGGCTTCCCCTGAACCACATTCTAGTCCCTTTCTGTGGATTGTGCCAGCCCAGACTGTCTCTGGGACCAGCTGGCCTCGCCCATAGGGACCTCGCCCACCATGGCCCCACCCGCCCTACCTGCTCTGGCAGATCAGGGACATGGCATCTGCCAAAGGTGGAAGGGAATCGGGAAAAGCCAGCAAATGCATTGCAACCATCCCTGTCTTGGAGGGTCACTGACCTCACCCCATGTTCCATATTAGCAGTCGGTGCCCACCGAGGCCAGGCTTTGGGCCTACGTCCTAAGCCGTTCACTGCCTCTACTTGACTGGATTGCCCCCAGAGACCCTTCCCTTCCTCCCGGCTCTCATCCCATCTCCATGCCTACTGCCTTTGCCACGGATCCCCCGGCTGAAGCCGGCCTTGGCCTCCCTCCTCCACGCCTCCCACCTGCGCTGGCTCCATGAAGTGAAAACACCTGATCCCCTCATGTGTCAGCTGGGACGTGGTCCAGGTTCAGTCTTGGAAGAATGGAGTCAGGACTGTGCCTGGGCCACCAGTGCTGGCCCCTCATCCTCTCCTTTCCCACTGCTCGATGCCCTGCTGCTGGCCCTCCTGGATGCTGCCCCCCTCCCCCATCCTGACACTCATGGGCCCTCTGTTCTCCCTCCCCACCTTTCTCTGATACCTCTGTGACTGAGAACACAGGCTCCCGTTCTAATGGGGACCAGATTAAAGGACAAAGTTCCAAGGGGAGGTTCATGCAGCAGTGACTGAAAAGGGAGGACATCTTTGAGGTGGCATCTCTGCGCTCTGGGCTCTCCCATCCCATGTGGAGGCAGCTGTCCATGCTCTTCTGGCCCATGTGATGGGAGGCACTGGGGGAGCCCCCTGCTCCGCACCATCCTGAGGCTTCCTTTGAGGCTGTATGTGGGCCGCCCGAGTGGGCTGAGATCTGGAAGCACAGGTCTCCATCAAGATCCAGGTCTATTCGCCCCAGCGCAAGGCCCCATGTCCTTGCCTCAGGCAGGGCATCCTTGGCTTCCCTCTGCTGGGCTCTATTGTCCAGCCAGACCACCTCCCCCTGGGCTGGGCCTTGGGCTGGGGCTCCGGGTCACACTGCTTTGGACCACAGGGCCTCTGCCTGCCATGTGGGAGTGATGAGTCATTTCCTCTCTGTCCTCACTGCCTTCTGGGAGGATCTCCAAAGCCTGGGGACATCACATTTTCCAGATACGAAAACCAAAGACCACGGGAAGGGACGATGGGTCAAGCGCTGGGGAGGCGCTCACAAGCCTGGCCCAGGTGCACTAGATCTTGGTTCCCCATCCTTCCCCAGGAGCTTCCCTGAGGCCTGAGCTATTGATGGATGGGCACACCGAGGGCTGGACCGAGATGAGAAGGGCAGTGACAGTCCTGGGGAGGAGGGGCTTAGGTCGGAGGGCCCATCCCTCCCAGGCCTCAGAGCACCTTCCCTGAGTCTGGGCTAGGTCCTGGGGATGAGAAGAGTCAGACTCTTCCCTGCCTTGAATGCCTCACTCTGTACCCCGGGGGTGGGGAGTGTGGGGTGGGGGGTGGAGGGGATAAAGAAGCTGCTCAGAGGGTCCCCGAAAGAGGAGAGGAGTTAGTCAAAAGGACAGGGTGAGGGTGGGAATCCAGGTGGACTGGAGAGCTCATTCCTTTTTTTTTTTTGGTCCTAGGGATTGAACCCAGCTGTGCTTTACCACTGAGCCACACCCCCAGCCCTTTAAAAAATATTTTATTGATAACAGGGTCTCTCTGAGTTGCTTAGGGCTTTGCTAAGTTGCTGAGGCTGGCTTTGAATTTGGGATCTCCTGCCTCGGCCTCCTGAGTCACTGGGACTCCACCCGGTGGGATTCCACCCAGGTGTGTGCCACTGTGCCTGGCTCTGGGGAGCTCATTCCTGGGTGGAGAGCTTCTTCCTGCCTGCTGTGTTCCAAGCTCTCACCCTTCTGTGGTCTCTGGGGTGAGGGCAGCTCAGCCTGGGGCTGCAAAGAGGGACCACAGGAATGCTTAAGCTAAACAGGCTTAAGAGGGCCTTGCTTCCAGTCTGAGGGGTTATACAGAGACTCCCTCAGCACCCAGCTGCCCATCTTCCTGACTTCAAGCCAGGGAACTCTCAATCTGGGCCCATGAGGGAGTGGGTTCCAGGGGCCCTCGTACCATGAAGACATGAACAAAGCTGTGTGTGCATGCATGTGGGTGCACATAGTTCTGGGCTGGGGATATGCACAGGGGTCTGTGGCCCCACAGATGAGAAACCTGCTCTGGAACATGAGGGCTGCGGGGAGCTCCAGGACTCAAGAGATCAACCCCTGCACTGATGGATGAGGAAACCGAGGCTCTCAGGAGACATGTTTGGTCTGAGGCCACCACGACAGCTGGTCTCTGGTCCAGGGCTTCGAGGCTCCATCAGGAGCAGCATTCTTGGTGCCATGGAGGGCACACTGAACCCGCATCTCTGGGGAGCAAGTCAAAGGGCATATCCCTGTGCCCTATTCCCAAAGGTACCGATATACTGTCTTTGCACACCAGAATTTAGGGAGGTTTGTACTAGAGAACAGGCACTATGTGTACACATGTGAGCTCAAGTGTGCAGTACTTTTGGAGCTGATTCTGGAAACCCGGTTAAGAGTGGGGCCCTGAGGGCCAAACAGTGCTTTGCTACTTACTTACTGGGTGACCTTGGGCAAGTCATTGCACCTCCATGGTTCAGTTTCTCCAGCCAGAAAAGGGGCAGAATAATACACCAATTACCTCATGGGATTGTGGTGGGTATGAAATGAGCCCTAAGCAGTGCCTGCCTTGGGATACTGCTCATTCTTCCTAACTTCCCTGATTTGGGAACTGAGGATGACAGGCTGGCTGGGTGCATCTTCTCAAAGTAAGGATGAGCTTTACGTCTGTATCACATTCTGGGTTGGTCAGTTCTGTCTGAGGAGCCATTGGGCTTCCTTCCTCTCAGAGCGCCTCTTTGAAGGAAAGCCCACCCATCTGCTTTCACATTCCTTCCGGCCTGAGCACTGGCCCTGGGAGCAGTCTTCAAGGCTGGGCCTTATCAGACTTTGGACTTCCCCAGGCCCAGGGAAAGGGCAGGTGCTCAGTGAGATGACCCGTCAGCCTGAGGCCGGGCAGCTGCAGGCTGGTACCTTGAAGCATGATGAGCTGGACGCTGGCCTGGGAAACTTAGTGAAGGGCCACTGGACTGGACATGGGCCGGGAAGGACGGCTCCACCAGTCAGTCATGGTACACTGGGGTTATGGAGAGGAAGACAGACCAGACCCTCAGCCCCTGTGGTGCTTCTGTTCTAATGGAGGGCGGGGAAGGTAGGGATAGAAGATAACTGAGTCAAATAAGTGGTTTTGGACACTGTTCCAAATGAAATGGAGGGCAGTGCAGACAAGGGACACGGAGTCTGGGGCAGGGGAGGGAGGGCTGTGATTTCAATAGTGTGATGAGATGGGTCCCACTGAGGTGCCACTGGAGCTGAGATCTGCAGAGTGAAGACAGCTAGGTGGGGGCAAGAGGGGTCCAAGCACCAAGAACAAATGTCTCACTAGTTGTCTCTCTGTTACTAACTGCCAGTAACAGGAAACTCCAAACAAAATAATTTAGTCTGAGCTCATTTTTCAGTCCATTGCAGTTGTTCCTCGGGACTCGCAGGATCCCCCATGTGGTGATTCAGGGATTCAGGTTCCTTCCGTGGTGTCTTAGCAGCTCAGCTCTGCCCACCCCCCACTGTAGTCATGTTTCCCTTTAGCAGGGGGATGGAGGCAGGGGCAGGATCTAGGCTTCTTGGCCATCCTCGAGTTCCCTGGAGAAGACCTAGCCACATGGCCTGTTAAGTGTTGGGAGGCGTC